TTTGTTTTGTTCATGAATTAAGATTAATTAGAATTCATGAACTTGGTGATGAGTTAATGTTTGGTATACTCTCTCTTTTCTCTAGATTCTTGGTCATTTGTATGTCTTAGTGGCCTATAAATAGTCCATCTCATCTACTATTTTCTACATCAACTCATCAACTATTTTATATACAGGAGAGGTTACTAGCAAAGAAGGGTGTTTTTTGGTGGAGCTTTGGATTCACCATCTTGTGCAGAGTTGGCCTGAACCATACGACAAGTGGTCGGACTGTTGTATCTTGGAGGGGACAAGTTATAGTTTTGTGACTGCTGCACCGGTATTTGGGTTCTTCCTACCGCAGTGGGCTTGATCTCCTTAAAGAAAACGAGATATCCGTGCCTCAGCCTAATCTATTTGTATCTCATTTTCTTTGTATTATTTATCAATAAAATATTTTTTTCTGGTATTTTCACCAACAATTTTAAGGAGATCAACCATGGATCAAGTGCTAGAAAAAACTAATGATGGAATTAGAGATCTCAACAAGCCTTTCAAGTTCAAGGGAGTTCATTTTAAGAGGTGGAAAGGAAAAAATCTTTTTTACCTTAGCCTTTTGAAAGTTGCATATGTTTTTACCGAGAAGAACCCAAACAAAATCCCAACCGAGGAGATGAATGATGAAAACTACAAGGCACATGAAGCAAAAGTGGCTTCCAACAATACAGATAAGTTTAAATGTCAATTTTATCTCTTAAATTTCCTTAGTGATTAATTTTATGATTATTACTATGACACCACTTACACTTTGTCTTCTATTAATTTTTGGCATGCTCGCTTATGTCATATTAACAGTAAATATGTGAGAATCATGAGTAGTTTATGATTAATTCCTAAAGTGACAAAAAATTTTGAGAAATGTGATGTTTGCAGTAAACCAAAAATCACCAAGAGGCCTCATAAAAGTGTTGAAAAAAAAAATACCGAATTGCTAGAATTATTTCATACTGATTTGTGTGAGTTTTAAAGAATTTTAACTCGGGGTGGTAACCGATATTTTATCACTTTTATTGATGATTTTTCAAAATACACAAACGTATATTTATTAAAAAATAAAAGTGATACTTTTGAGAAATTTAAAGAATTTATTCTTGAAGTGGAAAATCAATTCAGTAAAAAGATTAAGAGAATTAGAAGTGATAAAGGCCGAGAGTATGAATCTCTTAGATTCAACTCTTTTGTTTAGTCATTGAGAATTATTCATGAGACTACTCCACCATATTCACCTTCATCTAATGGCGTAGCTGAAAGAAAAAATATAACGTTAATTGACTTGACGAATGGTATGCTTATCGATTCAGGTGCTTCCTCAAATCTTTGGGACGAGGCTATTTTGACAGCTTGCCATGTGATAAATAGAGTGCCACACAAAAAAACTAAAATTGTACCTTATGAGTTATGACAGGGGCATAAACCAAATCTAGGTTATTTGAGGATTTGGGATTGTTTAGCTTTTGTGAGATTTACAGATCCTAAACGACCTAAATTGGGTGAACGAGCTACCACCTGTGCTTTTCTTGGGTATGCGTTGCATAGTACAACTTATAGATTTTTTGACATGGAAAATAATATTATTTTTGAATCAGGTGATGCTATTTTTCATGAAAATAAATTTCCTTTCAAATCTAGAAATAGTGGGGGTCAAATAATTTCTAAAAATATTTTATCCGTGCCTAGTTCTTCTACTCCTTCTCAAGTTTTTCAAGAACAAGAAAATTTTCAAATCCAACCAAGAAGAAGTAAACGAGCTAGAGTTGAAAAAGATTTTGGCCTTAACTATTATCTTTACAATGTGGAAGAAATTCCTCTTACAGTGCAAGAAGTTTTATCATCACCTGATACTATTTTCTAGAAAGAGGCTGTAAATGATGAGATAGATTCACTACTTTCAAATAAAACATGGAAGCTAGTGAATTTACCCTCAGGTTGTAAAACTATTGGGTGTAAATGGGTCCTTCGTAAAAAACTTAAACCGGATGGAACTATAGATAAATATAAAGCGAGGTTTGTTGCTAAAGGTTTTAAGCAACAAGTTGATCTTGATTTCTTTGATACTTTTTCTCCGATTACTAGAATTACATCCATTAAACTATTGATAGCAGTAGCTGCAATACATGATTTAAAAATTCATCAAATGGATGTGAAAACAACATTTTTAAATGAAGATCTAGATGAGGAGATTTACATGGACTAACCCGAAGGCTTTGTGAAGCCTGGCCAAGAAAGTAAGGTGTGTAAGCTAACTAAATCCCTTTATAGTTTAAAACAAGCTTCTTAACAGTGGCATGAGAAATTTGATTCATGCATGCTTGAGAATGGCTATAAGACTAATGAATGTGATAAGTGCATATATATAAAACTTGTGAGAATGCACATGTAATTATTAGCCTATATGTGGATGATCTACTTATCTTTGGCGCTGATTTGCATATTATAAATGAGACTAAAAATATGCTTAATAGCCACTTTGATATGAAAGATCTTGGTGAAGCCAATTTTATTTTGGGAATTAAAATTACCAAGACTAATGATAGCATTTTTCTTGATCAGTCGCATTATGTTGAGAAAATTTTAAAAAAATATAATTTTCTAGATTGCAAACATGTTGCTACTCCTTTTGATGCAAGCATACATTTATCTGTTGTAACAAATGAAAAAAAAAAAGTGATTAATTAAAAGGAATATGCCAGCATGATTGGTAGTTTGAGATATGCTACTGACTGTACTAGACCTGACATTGCATATGTTGTTGGGGTATTTAGCAGGTTTACTAGCAAGCCAAGTCGAGATCATTGGCTAGCCATTGGAAGAATTATGAGATATTTATCTGGTACCAAAAATTATGCTTTGTTTTATAATAAGTATCATGCGGTACTTGAGGGATATAGTGATGCCGATTGGAACACTTTGTCAGGTGATTCTCTCTTTACCATGGGTTTTATTTTTACCTTAGGTGGTGGTGCTATATGTTGGAAGTCTAAAAAACAGACTATAATTGCTAATTCTACAATGAAAGCTGAGTTTATAGCATTAGTTTCAGCATGTGAGGAAGCGAATTGGTTGAAAGATTTGTTACATGAAGTCCCTTTTATCATGTGTTAATTCGTTGTGATAGCACTGCTGCTATTGGTAGAGTGAACAACAATTTTTATAATGGTAAATCTAGACCTATTCAAAGGAAACACAGTAATGTGAGATCTTGTTTGAGTAATGGCATCATAACTGTGAATTATGTAAGATCTTGTGATAATCTTGCGGATCCGTTAACCAAGGCCTTGGCGAGAGAGAGGGTCTGGAATACATCAAGGGGGATGGGTTTGAAGCCTATAAAATCATAAACCTTGTATGAGGATACCCAACCTAGGGACCAGAGATTGTGTAACTAGGTTCAATGGGAAGAACGAATCATATGGTGGTTGTAAAAATGCACTCCTTAATATTTAGTTATTCATCCCTATTATGTAAGTGCATTTATCCTGTAATGTTGGAGGGTTGAGTTTTTATACTCTTAATGAAATTAAGTAGCTCTTGTTGAGTGGGGTATTTAAATTACATGAATATCCTTGACAGATTTCACCTATGTGAGCATGAAAGTAGGGCCGCTTTCTATGAGAACAAGGCTTATTCTCAAATATACTCATGAAAACTGGGATAAGCACAAGGCCGTAATATGCTGGCTATTAAAAGCTCATGTCAACACTTGGATTATTATGTGTGAGCAATAATACTTTATTTCCCTTAAGCAGTCATAGTTCAAGTCTGAGACCACTACTGACTCTGGAGTAGAGGTTGTTGTTTCACTAATGAAGGTTCAATGCAGAGCACACTTTCATGATGCATACTAGTCTATCTTTGTTTGATAATCTCTTTTTCCTTGTTGATATTAAAATGAGTGGGGGATTGTTGGACCATTTTAATATCTTTTATTTATTTATTTATTTGTATTGTTCTTGAATCTTCTTTTATTTTATTCATGAATTTCATCTTGTTCATGTATTGAGATTCATTGCTTTGGTATCCTTTTGTTTTGTTCATGAATTAAGATTAATTAGAATTCATGAACTTGGTGATGAGTTAATGTTTGGTACACTCTCCCTTTTCTCTAGGTTCTTGGTCATTTGTATGTCTTAGTGGCTTATAAATAGTCCATCTCATCTACTATTTTATACATCAGTTCATCAACTATTTTTATACAAGAGATATTACTAACAAAGAATGATGTTTTTTGGTAGAGTTTTGAATTCACCATCTTATGCAGAGTTGGCCTGAACCATACGACAAGTGGTCGGGCTGTTGTATCTTAGAGAGGATAAGTCATAGTTTTGTAACTGCTACACCGGTATTTGGGTTCTTCCTACTGCAGTGGGCTTGATCTCCTTAAAGAAAACGAGATATGCATGCCTCAGTCTGAGCTATTTGTATCTTATTTTCTTTGTATTATTTATCGATAAAATATATATATATTTTCTGATATTTTCATCGACAATCTCTTTTGAGATAGAGTCCATTTAAGGAGGAAAAAATCAGTTACATTAGTAAAAATGGTTCAGGATGCTCTTTTGCTTCCCTCCCTTAGAGATGCTGTTATATGTTTTTACCAAATTAATTAAAATACTTATAAGAAAAGTAAACATGTTTGATATCACTAATTAGTAGTGGCACTAATGATATGACAGTCGGCCTTACCTATTGCCACAGTGTTGTGCCTTTTTTTTTTTTTTTTTTGATTTTTTATCCCATTAATAGTGGTACCAAATTAGTGGTACCGACTGCTGATAGGAAAAGAAAAAAACAGAATTGTGTTTGTTATCCATGTTGCAACGTGGATGTTTATGTAGTTATCGGAGCCTATTTGGGTCCGGTCAGAGGGTTAGGTCTCGAGTTCGGGAAAAAGCCTTCAACCGGGTCGGATATCTTCCCATACACGACCCGTTATATATTCGTGCTAGGGTTTCGGAATCTGTATAATAAAATATTTTTATCACTCAGCTTCAGTCGAACCATTGAATCTGCATATATACACAGACCTATATGCAATTAAATTGTGTTTTTTGATTGAAAGTTGTGGCTTGAAAGCTTCTGAGTTTTGAATTTCTGGGTTTGATTACTGTGTAAAGTTGAAGAAGAATGAAGAGTGAAATTTTGGATGAAAGCAAGTTTGATGTGAATTTGAAGTTGTGGGCAATTCGAATCCCTCGTGAACTGTGCAAGGTCGCCACTCGGATTCTAAATGGGTATGCAAAGCTTTGCCATATATTCGACTCAATGTTCAATGAAACTTGTTTGTTTAGTCAGTATAGTTTAATTATGCATTGTATAATCATACATGTTCACAACATTGCCTAATATGTATATATATATATATGTGTGTGTGTGTTGAATGAAATGCTCATAAATTCTTCGAGTTTTATACGATCAACTGTTTGTGCAGTTGCTGTTGTGCAAGTTCTAATTTTGATGGACATTGCACTTGGAATTGCACAAAAAGACTATGGGGATGTTGAGAAGAGATATGTTTTATCAAATAATTTGCCTTTATGTGTGTTGTAATTATATGAACTCTCTTGCGGTAATTTTTAACAAAAGTATTCGGTTCTTGGAGAGAAAGAGTTTGGGAATTAGTAAATATGGGAACATGCATTCAATCATCAAAAAAGAGGATTTGATTGAGTTTGAAATTTTTTTTTTTTGAAGTTTCATTTGTGATTACATGTGAACAAATTTCGGTCTTAAATTTATGATATTGTAAACTTTTTTAATGAATCATATTTAGGTACCAAACTAATCAACGAGTTACCAGGATTTTTACTAATCAATTTATTTCTGGATTCACTTATGTTATGAGAGGATGTCTTTCTAATTCAAGGCCTGACTAAATGATTCAAGCTGACTGGAACGTCGTCATAGTTTTCCTCCATTAGGGGAGGGTGATTTTGAGTTGTCTTGAATTTTGCTAAATTTGCAGTCATGAGGTTGTCTAGGCTACTTCATCAGGTAGATTTCATCATTTTTTTTTGGCTTCTTATGTGTATTCACACAGTAAATACACAGTAAATGTAATAGATAAAGTGATTAATAGTGTGATGCCTTTTCTTGTACATTCTTAATTTCATTAGGGCATTCACAAAACAAAAGGCTAGTAATAGTATATTAAGTAGGTCACTTTGTTTGGTTTTGTTTTCAAAATCTGTTTTTGTGAATTTTTTTTTTAATAAAAAAACTAGGAACTAGTTTGGTCAAAAAAGGGGGAAAAAAAAAATAGAAAAGCACTTATTATGTAGTTATTTTTCATATTTTACTCACTTTTTAACTTTCTCTTTTGAGATCCATACCTAAACTCATGGTTTAAATACAATCTAAATGAATTTCCTCAACAAAAAAAAAAAACTTCATCAAATGCTGGATAAAAGTTTTTGGTTGTATGCAAATATGCATTTCAACATCAAGAAACCAAAGGGTGTGTAATGATGTAATCTGACTTTCATGAATCATTAGGTTAACCTGAGGTTAGAGTAAAATGAGATGCTTTCACATCTCATCTTCATCTTAACACAGTAATTTAAGCAAGCCTTGCTTAACTTTTGCTAAGCAATATTATTCACATATTTGTATTTGTTGAAGTTGCATAGCGCAGCAATGAGAATCAAATTCGGAAATCTTTCTAATAAATTTCTTAGTAATCTCTCTGGGTAGCTCTACCCTTACAGATAATTTGTTGTGCCCACAAATTCTAATTCTTTGGTGCGATACATGAGATAATTTTAGGAAGAAGAAAAAAACTTGCCTTTTTTCATAGCTTGTTTCAACTCTCTCTCTCTCTCTCTCTCTCTCTCACACACACACACACACACACTTACACTTTTTCAGCCCCCAGTTTGTGAACCAGCTGATCATTGTTCAGTGCCTTTTCATTTGTAGATACTTGCTTGACAGAGCCCGCATCAAACCCATCACTGAAGATCCAACATGTGAAAAAAACCGTTACATGATATTATCTGAAAAGGTTCAGAATTCTGGTAAGAATCATTAAACAACTTGTGGTTACAATGCCTAAGATAAACTTTATGATGAAATGACTTCTATGGCTTGCAAAGTTGTACTTTTATTGGCCTTTTGGCTAAGGTCAAGGTTTGTTGAGTGAGTACAATGCCTTACTCACAAGTCACAATTTTCTTTAGACAAAATTGAAACTGCATGTCTATGGTACATGTGTGCCTATTGTATGCTGTTATTTATGAGGAAATAGTGAAAAATAGGAACGTGAATGTCATGCAAGCTTAGCCCTGCTATAGTTTGGCAGGAGGTGGTCTAATTTATGTTGGTTTCATTATGAAGAATTGGCTTTCTGATGGTTCTTTTACGAAGTATTGGTGTTTATACTTGTCGGATTTCACTTGTCAAAAATAACTTTTGTTTTTTTTGTTGTCGATATCTTTGCTGCGTTTATTAATATAATTTGAGTCAGACCACTGTGATCATTACACAACTATCTTCATCGGGTCCCATTGTTCCATATAGCTATCATTGTATTGGCCTTGTGATGTAATACAAGTTTGAAGAAAACTCTCTTACAACCAATGAATCCGTAGTTGAGGACATGTAATTGTGCATTGCATATGGTCACTGCTTCTATAAATTGTCTATATTCTAACTGTTATCCATTTGTTTGGGTGGTCCTTGCCAACCCCTAAAAGGGAAGAGCAAGGCTCAAGTCAGTTGGGATATAGGCGTGTCTGTCTTATAATTTATATATGTTATGCAGATGGGCCTGCCTTGTTTTTGACGAATTTATTTATTTTGGAGCAGATTTATCTGATATTCCTGGCGAAAAACTTGATGAACTAAAAGAGCTATGCAAAATTGAAGTAGTCCCCTACTCGTTGACACTCGGATATTCCTATTGGGGTGCAGGTCAGTTACACTGCTTCCAAAGTAGATTGTAGTTTTATTCTTTGTTTTTTTTCCCAATTTGTTTTAAATACTTAAGTATCTGCTTAAATTAAAAAACTTCTACCTTAATCATAATGGAGTCCATTTTATTATTTATCAATATATTGCTTGTGAGTCGTCTGTGCACATGGTGTGAACAAATAATTTTGTCTACAATAGTTGGTCCAGTTAAAGAAAGTAAGAAAATTGTCCTGATAGGACCAATGGTTGAATTGCAGTACTGTCTTGCAAATTTATGAATGACATTGGTCTACATAAACAAAATTTTGCAAACGTCTTCTTTATTATATTGTCGAGTAAAATTTATAAAACCACAAAGTTACAATCTACGAAGCATGAATACTCCAATAATATTGTCATACGAGTACCGGGTACTTACCCAATACGGGTATGCATACCTTTTATGATTGCACGTGTACTGGGTATGTGAAATACGTATCTGGTATGCGAAATACTTTGGTTATGGCTCGGGTATAGCATGGGTATGGCTCAAGTATGGATGGGTACATTATGGGTACTTTATGGACACGTCATGCAAAAAAAATGTAAATTTGTTAAAATGTAGGGGTATTGAAACAATTAAATTGTGCCTTTTTTTTGGAAACTTCAATAATATAGGATATTTTTGCAATTATAAAGAATATTTATATAAAAAAAAACTCTTTTTTTTTACCATTGCAACAATACTTCAATTTTTTTTTGCATTTGATTTTTAATTGTTATATATTATGTATTACTACAAATTATAAAAATATATATATTTTTTGGACGTACCCAATTGTACCTGTATCCTACTTTTTAAAGGTTTAATGTACATTAGATTCTATGGACAACTGCATCATGTTCTATATTGAATCTTCTTTAGTCATGATATTTGAGTTGCACTCAGATCTCAGATCTTAGTTCTTTACATTGCCTTATGGCTGACTCCAAAACTGGTTGTTTTGATTATAGATCATGTGTTGAAGCAGATTCTGCCACCTGGACTTGAGGTACCTTCATCTTTTGAAACAATAGTTAAGTATTCTAATTATGTTGTTGTTCTTTTGGTAGTTACTTCCTTTTTCCCTTTATTTTTTGCATCAGTTAACAAGGATGATTCTGAAAATGCCTTTCTTTCTGTACCGTTCTGTGTGACATTCCACTTGCAACTTCCTTCACTTGCCTTGTATTCTTGTTAGAGATTCTACATTTTTAGTTTTGTGGGGAACTTCTACTAATGATGAATGAATTGGCAACACTACCAAATGATGCAGGTCATATTGCTCATCTGAATATCACCGACGAACTGCTTCCTTACAAAGACGTTATCGCGAAGGTTATCTATGATGTATGTCTAAATTTTTTTAGCCTTGATGCATATCTTGATTCTCTGTTGACCTATTTAATAATTATCACAAAGGGATCATCCCATTTTAATGTAAGCTTACCCAGAAAGAGTCTCAATTTTGAGTTAAAAAGCCATACTTTTTGGCCGAGTTCAAAGGATTTTCTATTAATGTGCTTATCATGGAATTCCTTTAGTCCAAGTTTTAAAAAATTTCGAACTCTCATATGCATCATTGTGAATTTCCTCCAACTCATTGAGTTGCAATTTCCGATTGAGCCCAGTCGCGGCCATATCGAAGTTAAACTTCTTTATGGTCCACAACGCTCGATGCTCATGTTCAACTGAGAGGTGGCAAGCTTTGTCAAATACCGCCCTATATGGTGACATCCCAATGAGTGTTTTATAAGTAGTGCGGTAGGCCCATAATGCATCAATCAAATGTTTTGACCAATCTTTCCTATCTGGCCTCACCGTTTTCTCTATTATATGCTTTACCTCCCCATTAGATACCTCTACTTGGCCACTAGTTTGAGGGTGGTAGGGTGTGCCAACTTTATGAGTGATAGAGTATTTCTTAACTATTGCCTCAAAGAGCCGATTACAAAAATGTGTACCCTGGTCACTTATTATGGCTTTAGGAAACCTAAAACGACTAAAGATATTTTCATGCAAAAATTTTATCACTACTTTATGGTCGTTTGTTCGGGTAGCTATCGCCTTTACCCACTTAGAAACATAATCTACTGCCAAGAGAATATACTCAAAACCGAATGACAATGAGAAAGGATCCATAAAATTAATCCCCCAAACATCAAAGATCTCTACCACAAGAATAAGGGACATTGGTATCATATTACAACGAGATATCGAACCCATTTGCTGACAACGCATACAAGTTCTACAAAATTGATGGGTATCTTTAAAAATGATGGGCCAATAAAACCCGCTTTGTAAAACCTTAGCGGCTGTTTTATGTCCACTAAAATGACCGCCACATGTAGAAGAATGACAAAATGTAAGAATGCTATGCACCTCACTCTCCGGCACACACCAACAGATCACTTGGTTGGAGTAATATTTAAATAACTCCGGATCCTCCCAAAAATAATACTTGACCTGCGAAAAGAATCGGTCTTTGTCTTGTTTAGACCAATTTTTAGGAATTTGCTTAATGGCCAAATAATTCACAATATGTGCAAACCACGGGGGGCTCGCTCTTGACACCACAAGAAGTTGTTCGTCCGGGAACGAATCATGCAAAGTTAAAGGGTCACTAGTATACTCAATAAGGACTTGGGAGAGGTGATCCGCCACCACATTCTCAAATCCTTTCGTATCTCGGATCTATAGGTCAAATTCTTGAAGTAACAAAATCCATCTAATCAACCTAGGTTTAGTTTCTTTCTTGGATAATAAATACTGCAAAGCGGCATGATCAGTGAAGACTATGACTTTGAAACCTAAGAGATAGGACCAGAATTTATCTAAGGCAAAGACTACAGCTAGCAACTCTTTCTCGGTGGTAGTGTAATTCAATTGTGCATCCGAAAGAGTGCGACTAGCATAGTATATAGCATAGGGTGCCCTATTGACCCTTTGGCCCAACACAGCCCGGACAACATAATCTGAAGCATCGCAAATGATATCAAAGCGAAGCGACCAATCCGGTGATTTCATGATTGGGGTGGTAGCAAGGGCCTCAATGTGTCAAAGGCTTTCAAACATGCCTCATCAAAGATAAAAGGTGCGTTCTTAGCAAGTAAACTACACAAATGACAGGATATTTTACTAAAGCCTTTGATGAACCTATGGTAAAAACTTGCATACCCTAAGAAATATTAGACTTGACGCATAGAAGTGGGTGGAGGAAGGCCTATAATGAGGTCAACTTTAGCTTTGTCTATCTCTACACCTCGAAGGGACACAATGTGTCCCAACACTATACCCTCACGAACCATAAAATGACTCCTCCCAACTCAAAACCAAGTTTGCCTCAGTACATCGTTCTAACACTCTAGTCAAATTTTTAAGGCATTCCTCAAAAGACGGTCCAAACACTGAAAAATCATCCATGAAAACCTCCAGAAATTTCTCCACCATATCGGAGAAAATAGCCATCATTCACCGTTGATAAGTCACAAATGCATTACATAGCCCAAAGGGCATGCACTTGTAAGCAAAAGTGTCAAGAGAGCAAGTGAACGTGGTCTTTTTTTGGTCAGCGGGGTACACTAGGACTTGATTATACCATGAGTAGCCATCAAGAAAACAATAAAAACCTTGCCTCGCAAACCTTTCAAGAATTTGATCAATAAATGGCAAAGGAAAATGGTCATTCCTAGTCATGGAATTCAATCTCCTATAATCAATACACACTCGCCACCCAGTAGTGGTTCATGTGGGGACTAACTCTCCTTGCTCATTCTCTACAATAGTGATGTCCGTTTTCTTGGGCACCACTTGTGTGGGACTCACCCACTTGCTATCCGAGATGGGGTATATAATACCCGCATCTAATAATTTCAACACCTCTTTCTTCATAACCTCTTTCATGTTGGGATTAAGCCTCCGTTGCATTTCACGAGAAAGTTTGGCGTCCTCCTCTAGATGTATATGATGCATGCACACGGAGGGATCTATCCCTTTCAAATCAGCCACCGACCACCCTATAGCACTCCGATGTGCCACAAGAACACTCATTAATTGACTTTCTTGCTCTGTAGTTAAGTCAAATGCAATGATAACCGATAAAGTATCTTGAGGCCCTAAAAATGCATACTTGAGTGTGGTCGGGAGTGGTTTCAACTCAAGTGTTGGTGGTGTGACTAAGGATGGTATGGCAGGCTCTCTAGACAGAGGAGCAAAGGACTCAAACCGGGCTTTCCGCGAAGGAAAATCTGGTGTAGAAAAAAAATTAAGGCATTTACCTCGTCAACTGACCCGTCAATATCAAAATTTTCAAACCCAAAATGAGCTAGACAAGTCTCTAGAGGGTCCTCTACAAGAATGGAGGGTGAAGCCTCCTCCACAATCCCATCCACAAATAAACACTCCTCTCTTTCATGGGGTTGTTGAGATGCTTAGAAAACATTGAGTTTCACTTGCATATTTCCAAATGAAACATCCATAACCCCGGTATGACAATTTATGCATGCATTGGCCGTAGCTAAGAAAGGTCGGCCTAAAATCATCGGGATTTGTTTCCTAGAGCTTGCTACCAGTTCCATATCTAAAACCACAAAATCAACAGGGAAATAATACCTATCGACATTTACTAGCACATCCTCAATCATGCCATGTGGCACCTTAAGGGACCGGTCAGCCAACTGGAGTGTAACAGTAGTGGGCTTCAACTCGCCAAGCCCAAATTCTTCGTACACAGAATACAACAACAAATTGACGCTAGCCTCTAAATCTAACAAGGCCCTATCAACGAAATGATCCCCTATAATGCATGCAATGGTTGGGGCACCAGGGTCTGAAGCTTAGGGGGTGTCACTCAATAAAATGGAGCTTACTTGCTCCATGAGTACGACCTTTTGGGACACGTGTGTCCTAGATTTACACTTTTGCGTATAAAGGTCCTTCAAAAATTTAGCATAGTAGAGTACTTGCTTAATCGCCTCCAACAAGGGGAGGTTGATTTTAAGTTGTTTAAAAACCTCCATCATCGCTCCCCTAGATGCCGCCTTCTTATTAAAAAGGGACAGTGTATCAAGGCATTGGGGAAAGGGTGCCTTAGATACATGTGAAGTACTAGGGATTAAGTCATCCTCCACCCTTCTTAGCCCTAGTTGTTTCAGATGCAACTGGCCGAGGCTACTCTCTCCCACTTCTCAAAGTGATCACCACTTGCACTTGCTCATGGTGCTTTCCATTCTCATTCGACCCCTCTGCCCCATATTGACCCTTAGGGTTGGTCACAGTCTGACTCGGTAATTTTTCCTCCTCTCTCTTATTCATGTTATTAGCCATTTGACCTAATTGGGCCTCTAGCTTGGCAATAGAGTATGGGAGTGAACTACTGGTGCTAACCCCTTAAGTTTTGAGAGAACTCCCTTAAGTTTTGAGAGAACTTCCAGCACCTAAGTCTTAAAGGCAGAGTTGTCTTAAGGAACAGGCGGGGGTTGTGGTTGCCAGTAAGGTTGTGTGGGTCGGTAGGAAGATTGGTTGGCAAAATTATTAAAATTCTACCTTGGTGGTGGAAGATTGTAAGAAGTGCCTTGTGAAGGAGGTCTCCATGAAAAATTTTGGTGATTTCTCCATCCCGGATTGTATGTGTTGGAATATTCCATTACCTGGGTTGGAAAATCCTTGAGTCGCATTCACATGCTCTTGGACTAATTCTGGAAATTGTGATGCCGAAGGGCACTCACTCAAGTCTTGAGCAGGGCTTGCACAAATAGCACATGCCTCATGAAATTGAGGCTGATCTTGCTGTGTAGTGGCATGTCCCGCAGATAATAATTGGTCCGTTTTGTAGGACAATGCCTCTACTTGTTGGGCTAACTCTAGGTTTTGCCTTACCTCATAAATGCCCCATCTTTTCGGGGCTCCAACTATCGGTTGCCGGACTTGACGGGTTGCGGAGGCATGGTAGAGGGAATTATCACTTAAGGGAGGTTTAGGGACAGTTTAATAGAGATTCATTGTTCATCCTTTAAATAAATAAAATTTGGGTAGCCAAGAAGACGACCACCGCACGTGCGGTCATCTCCGATGCACGTGCAGCCCAACAAAAAAAAAAAAACAAAAACAAAAACAAAAATACTAATACTAAACTTTTCTAATTCTTTTTATTTCATAGGTTGTTTATTTATTTATTTAGTTGTTTATTTATTTATTTATTCTATTATTTTATTCATTACTTGTTAGTTTAATTCATTACTTGTTAGTGTAGTTCGTTTTTATTTGTTTAGTCATTAGTTATTTAAATAAAGTGTTAATGTGTTTTATTATACCATAGTTAGGTAACTAGTTTAATTTACATGCATATATCT